ACACAAACCTTACAAGAAGGAACAGGAAATGAGTTTCCTTCCTTGGGTGCCGATATGTGCGCCTGCAAAGTTGCTAGATGGAGGACCGGAGAGCTGAGCCCCGGAGGTCTTCCTCTGGGAGGACTGTGAAAAGCAGAATGGATTGTTCTGCCAGTTGAGGCGCTGAGGGCTACAGCGGGGCAAGCCTGAGCTGACGGACTTCAACAATAAGGACACTCCCGTCACAAACCGTGAAGTCCAGAGGCAGCATCCTGAGCGGGCTTCAGGGACGTTTTGTCAGTGCTCCCTGGTGCCATCAGGGATATGGGCTTTTTTCGTGTCTCCGCTTTGCCATCCAGGGGGTGGGCTTCATGCTAAGGCTGGTTCCCTTCAAGGTCACGAGATGATAAGCTTCCTCGTTCATGTTCAGGGAGAAGAGAGACTTGGCTTCCTTTCCCTTAAAGGAGAGGGAGAAGCGGACTTTCCTGAAAGCTTCCAGCGAGCCTCTCCTTAAGTTTCACTGGCCAGGACTGAGTCACCTCCCCATTTATCAGCCCCTAGGGGGTGAGATTACTTTTCATCCGGTCAGGACCACCCCTTAAGCTGATGGTCAGGTCCCAAATTGCATGGCTGCCAGTCAAGGAGGGGAGGACGGGATCTAGATAGTGGGAACCAGCATCGATTCCCATCTCCCTCTGGGGCGCCTTCTGTATTGCATGCTAGAGAGTTAAAAACTACATTCTTAGACTTCCTTGCAGCCAGGATAATGACAGTGAATTAGGTTCCGCCCGTTAGATGCCCCGCTGCGGAGTTCGGATGGCAGAGGTGGGCAGGGGCCATTTTCTTATTGCCTTGTCTCTTGCTGCTGGGGAGATGGTCATGGAGGCCCTAAGTTTTCTGTGACAGTGTTCCAGTGTTGGGCCACCAGCACAGTGGGAGACAGGAGACGGTTTTATTTTATTTTATTTATTTATTTATTTAAAAAAAATTTTTTTTCAACGTTTATTTATTTTTGGGACAGAGAGAGACAGAGCATGAACGGGGGAGGGGCAGAGAGAGAGGGAGACACAGAATTGGAAACAGGCTCCAGGTTCTGAGCCATCAGCCCAGAGCCCGACGCGGGGCTCGAACTCACGGACCGCGAGATCGTGACCTGGCTGAAGTCGGACGCTTAACCGACTGCGCCACCCAGGCGCCCCAGGAGACGGTTTTAAAGGCAGTGGCAGCGGCCCCCTGACCCTTGGGTCACACCGATAGTGCTGTGTTCTTGAACTCAGTAGTTCCAGTGAGCCTGCTGATATCCCTGTCTGGTTTTGGAGGAAGTGGCTGCTCCCCTGGTGGGCCGGTTCTGTGGAGATGTTCTAGGGGGTCCAGCTGAAGGCTCTTCCCCTTTGGTCCTTCCAACAATTCTGTCAGCAGCAATTCCCTGCTGTGTTCACCACTTTCTGCTTCAAGGGGATTTAATACAGGGAAGGAGATGTTTGTAAAATGTGGGTCTAGCGTGGGTTCTGTTCCCCGGGTCTGAATTAAATGTAACTGACACAACCCCAGGTTAGAAGCAGTGTAGGGGCTCCTGGGGGGCTCAGTCAGTTGAGCGTCCGACTTCGGCTCAGGTCATGATCTCACGGTCCGTGAGTTCGAGCCCCGTGTCGGGCTCTGTGCTGACAGCTCAGAGCCTGGAGCCTGCTTTGGATTCTGTGTCTCCCTCTCGCTCTGCCCCTCCCCCGCTTGTGCTCTGTGTCTCTCAAAAATAAATATTTAAAAAAGAAAGAAGCAGTATGTAGTCACAGAGGACTGTGTGTGGCTGGTTAGGGAAAGCAACAGGTGCCTGGGCCCCTCAAAGCCCCTTTGGAGATTTTGTGTGTGTGTGGGGGGGATCCCCAAACTGCTGTCATTGCTGGAGACATGTAGCACATTGCTCAGATTATAGCCACTTGTCCAGAGGTATGTGAAGGGAAAGGCAGACAGGCACCAGTACTAAAAGTTGAGTGTACTGCCCCCAAAAGGAGGGACCCCAAAAGCTGGCCCCAGGGGAGATTGAGTTCCAGCCTGCAGCCTGGCATCCAGCCCTCAAAGCACATGGCCTTGCCTCTCAGTGAGTCCACATTGGGGGTTCGAGTTAGGTGGCACGGTGTTGTGGTCCCCAGGGAAGTCTTCGGTAAGGTGAGGACACGTTTGTAGTTTGAAAGCTCACCAAGGCAGCTGACAAGGGGGAGGGATGGGCTGTTCAACACATTCCTGAACACCCTTGATGACAGTTGACTGGCCCTGGGGGCAGCTTACTGTTTTGGGGTAACTTTGCCTGCTGAGCCAAAGTTCCACCTTTCTGCATGCATGTACTTGCCCAGGTGTGATCAGTAGGGCTGGCCAGAACCTCCCCCCCCCCCCCAAAGCAGCAGGGGATGAAGTGGGGAACCATAAAGGGGTTGTAAACCGGCTATCAAGAGAGAAATCTGGCTCTGGCTCACAGTTGTATTTGTTTGGCAGGTAGAGTTAACTCGATTGCAATTCTTTAAGGTGAGACACAGTCTTTCCTGTGAGTTTACAGGCTCCAGTATTCCCTGATGACCAAAGCAACCTGCTTCATTCATGCTCTTGATCAGGCTCTTGGAATCTTTTGAGTTTTCGACCCCAGTTGTTGAGGAGTATTTAGGACTGAGGATGCTTGGGACCTTGTGGATGCCAAAGGACCCCTGGAGTGTGTGACCCCTGGCGGCAGCTACACGGTGGTCACGCTAAGGGGAGGGAAATGGAGTGGAAAAGATGCAGCTGCAATAAACAAGATTAATATGAAACATGATGAATGTGTAACAGAAAAATGTAAAAAGAGAAAAAAAATCCAGCTGCCTCTCAGATGCCTCCTCTGCCCACACCCCACCCCCAATCACAAGGTCTAGAGGCGCTGGTGAGTGGCCAAAGTCCCTTTAATATCCCTGAATTGCGTTACAAGTAATACTGCCGGAGGTGAGGAAGGGAGGGGGGTCTGGGGTGCGAGATGGGGGAGGAGGAGGGAGGGGGAGCGCCAAGCGCTCATACAAAATATGGCCAAAAGGCTTAGCATGCATGGAAAATTATTGCTGTCAGAAGTTCCTATTTACAGGGTCAACACCCTCCGTAATTGCTTCTGCGACCCCTCTCCCTCCCCCCATCCCTGCTGCCTCCCTTCCCAGGTGGGCCTGGAGCTGAGAAGCCCTCCCTAGAGAAGGGCCCCTGCTCCAGGGGCCCCGCCAGTCTCCACCCTCCTCTGTGGCTGGGAGGAAAGAGGGAGGGGTCGGAGGAGAGTCCAGGACTCCTGCCCCCAGAACTGGGCGCCTAGTGATGGGGCAGAGGCGTGTGCTTAAAGCAGGGGGGGGCCAGGGCCCGTGAGCGTGGAGGTGTGTGCTTCGGTCCTCGCCCGGGCATGCGAAAGCGCGGCGGGGGAGGTAGTGGCGGCCCCTCTGCCCGGGAGAGTTGCATAGACGTGGCCGGGAGGGAGCGCTCCTCCCGGGAGCGGAGCAGGCCGGAGGCCCCAGCGGGGTCCGGGGCTCAGTCGGTCCCTGGAACCTGGGGTCCCTTGAGAAGAGGAATAAATAGGAAACAAATCGAGGAGGCTCCTCTCTCCGGTCTCCCTGGAGTGGGAGTGGAAGGCTCAGGAGGGTGGGGACCTGCCCCATGACTGGATCTCCTGATACCCCTCACCGCCACCCCCCCCCCTTGAGGGTAAGCAGGCTATCCCTCTCATTCTCGTGCCCCCTCCCCAGAGTTCAGGCTCTGAGGAGGGTGAGGCTTCTCCGTCACTCCCCAAGAGGGGGTGTGAGTGGGGGGTGGGGTGGGGAACAGCTTTCTATGGCCGTTGCTGTCTCTCTCCTTGCCTGGCTCCCTGACCTCCCAGTCCAGCTGGGGAAGCCAGACCATCCCTGGGTGAGGCCAAGAGATTAAATATAACAATAAATAGATAAATAAATAAATACACAAATAAATAACTGGAGAGGCCCAGCCAGACAGGGGGAAGGGCATTTGTGAGGTGCCCCAGACTCCCCCCAACAAATAAGGAGGGGTACCTGTAGTCCTGGGGGTGGGGGAAAGTGCTCAGAGAATCTGGGGAGCGGGCAGCTGGAGACTGGAAGCCCAGGGAGGGGCTGGCCTGGGGTGAGAGGAGGACTACATTAGGGGGGGCAGGGCCTGAACTGCCCCTCAAGTCTGCCCCTGGTCAGGTGAACACAAAAAGATGAGAACTGCGGGGACGATGAGGGGGTCTGGAGAGAGTAGGGGGTGGGAGCGGTTGAGAAGGCCCTAGGACCGAAGAGGGTGGGAGATGTATGTGAGCATGGTACAGGGGGCTGTGAATGGCTGGACCTAAGGCCAGGGTATGGGGGGGATCAGGGACACGCCGGGGACTCCAGGAGGGGCGAGGATTGGATCCCTAGATGGGCACACATACAGCGAGACCTGGCAGAGGCCAGAAGGACGGTCTGGGGTTGGAATGTGGTCTGGGAGCTGCAGGGCCTGCGTACCGGTGTGGATGAGGAAACCACAACAGACGTGAGAGTCAAAGGTAGGTTTGGGCCTTAGATTGGGGTTCCGATAGAGGAACGATAGGAGAGACTCAGCTGAGAAGTGGGAAGAGAAGTCTGAAAGAGGGGAGAGGTGCAGGATCTGGGCGGAAGGAAATCTGGGG